CAATGTAATCTTCTCGGATGAAAGAAAATTTAATTTACTTTTCTTCGTTGCTTGATGTCTGCTCAATATTGTCTGTAAGCAATTGGCTGATTCACTGTAATAAGAGCTCCTTTGAATTCTGTTAATAAGTTATAGAGATGATTTTATAGAAGTACAAGATTCATATGCTTTGAAGCCCAGCATAGCTTTCTGACAGAATATGTATTGCATTTGATTTGAACTTATAAAAGAGCCGATATGGTCTGTAGTCACTGTTATAATCTTACTACTATTAATTTCTAAATTTAAATCTAAATTTAAGATCGTTTCTATTAATTTTCATAACGCTGAAGATCTTTATAGTTCACCAGTTGCTCGTCAGGATATTTAAAATCTTCCATATATATGGAAGATGTCACCATTAGGTGACAAAATATGGGATACGGAAATATGCAATATCGGACCTTAAATATGTTTTTCAGATTTTATCTAAAACTTGTATCAATAACATATGATGACTTCTGTTTTCAGCTTAAACACGCAATAATGAAGTATCTTTACAATATAGTAATCAACATTTATAAAAAATCATTGGCTATTAACTTCATTGTATATAATAAATAGGGCTACAAAACCTTTCACTTCAATTATCCTTAAAGAAATAATAAACAGGGCTACAAGACCTTTCACTTCACTTATTCTTAAAGAAAGAGTTTATTGAACTTTATCAACTGTTTTTATAGAATTTTATGGTGTATGTATCTTAGATGTAAAATATATTTATATTCATAAGTTAATTCATTTAAATAGGTATATAACAAAACCTTAGCAACTTAAAAAGTCTACACTCACATCGCAGGGATAAAAAAATTTTCCTTGTAGGATATGTTAAAGAGTGTATCAACCTTAATGGAATTAAATATCCTTATTACAATATAAAAAGGTATAAATTTGTTTCCCAATATGCATCGATTGTTTCCCTTAACGGATTTAATCCCAACATATCACAGATACCTTCACTCAACCTTCAATTATGCTCATACCTTGTTCCTAACATTGGAATCTCTTGATTAAGGGTTGATTACAGCTTTGATTTGTCTGGAGTGTTTTGCTCTTTTCATGCATTATTTCCCTTTCAGTTCGGTTAAGTGATGATGAAGCACACCACACATCCTATGTGAAATTAAAATTTAATTCCGTATTCAAATTAAAATCACTTTCGTTTACAGAAGAACTTTAAATAATTTGCTAGTAATAATATATCATATAATATATAATATAAAATAAATTAAAGTATATATTAAATAATGTTAAAATCTTTAAAGTTTTTTAACACTAGTGTTGTTTTAATACTGTGCCATACGAATAATAATCGCTTGTCGAAAAATTGGTAATGAATCTCTTAGTTTTATGGCAGACATCCTAATCTAAAAATGAAATCTATAAAGATTTCTGACAATATAAATATCAAGGACATCTTGACAATTAAAAATAATTTTTATAAGTTCTTTTGCTTTACGACTTTTTTATGGTATATTCGTAGATGTATGTAAACAAAAGTTAATATGATGTAATGAAATTAAACATCCTTCCACATGATGAAAGTCGTGAATTTCCTTAAAGGAGTCCTTGTGAATTTGAACCCGTCAGCATTTTGTTTTATAGTCGGTTTATGACTATAAGAAATAAATAAGTCATACTACCACTACCCGTTTTATTGTTGTATTTTCACTCATTCACTCTGGTCAATGAAAATTTATCCCTTCAGTTTTATTCATTTTATTTTTTCTAGTAAATTTTTTTTTATTCTTCTATATTTTTTCTTCTAAACAAAAAATATTTTGTAATAAAATTTTTTATTAAAGATACATCTTTTTTAATTTTGCTGATTTGAATTTGTTTATGACGCGTTGTGCTCCTTTGCATAATAATCATTTATTCATAATTTTTACTTTTCATTTACAACTTGACAAACATACAGAAGAAAATTATAAAAATATATAAACAAACAAAAGCAACTGAGTACATTGGCAAAATTATTTTTGCAATTAAAACAAATTTAGATTTAAAAATTTTCAACAACACATATTTCTAAAATCTGCACGCTCCCGTCTTCCCTACTGTCAGCAATTAAATACTTTATAGCCAATTATTTGGCTATTTCAAATAAAACTATTTGTTGCTGTTAATGAGGCTCTCAGTACTCACTTACTTTTGGCTTTCTCACCTAGGGCCTCGAATTTGATGTTTCGATTACTCAAACGTGAATTTGGCTCCTCCATATTCTATGCACCTGCTGCCGTGGCAGGCGGATTAGTCATGGACCGGTTTCCCCGTGAAGAGTTAGTTCCGCTCTGATTTTTATGCATGTTTGTTATGTATGTAGAAATTAGTCAGCATATGATGACCTCAAAGACTATGATTTCTTAGTAAGTTTTAACAGAGTTGTTTGTCCATACCTACTTCCTGAGACGCTGGAATGTTCAAAAGCCATTGAGACTACCTGATCTTATTCTCTTCTCATTTTTTTACCGCGCTTGGGATCGGCTACGGAGTAGTTGTGCATAAGATATAGTAAATATTAGTTATTGTAGCCCATGTTTATACTCCTATAAGTTTCAATAAATGAGAGAGAGTAATATCAAAAGTATATAAAAATATATAATATAGATAGTTATGTGAAATGAAAAGTTTGATTTTACCTCAATTTGCTAGCAAGCATTTGAAATAATAAATTGTATATGTATATGATTCTATGATTTGTTATAATTCAGTCATTAGTATATATAAATAAAATAATCTTATGATATGTTATAAACAAATAATAAATATTTACATATATATACTATAGTTAAGTAGGTTAAGTGGAAACAGTTTCAAATTTCTACAATTTGCTAAAGAGAATTTTTCAATTCTCATAATTCTGGAAAGAGCTTTGGGCACTTACCATTAAAAAATTGTCTAAATCATAATTAATATATAAGTCGTGATAATCGAAGATACCATTTTAGTTGATCCTTCTCTAATGTTTAAGTATGAACACATATAAACATATGCACATACTATAATATTGGTTTAAATAACTTCTTTTTTTTTGATATGTAATTATTCAAATTATGACTTAAATAAAAAAAAAAATAAATACATAACAGTCGTTTACACTATTGCAATTAACTCATTTTCGCATCTAACTCGCTAATTGCTACGCATTTAGTCATAAATTTCCTTATAAGAAATTTTTAAGATAATTGCGTCATTTGCATTGCATATTTATGCACTAATTAACTTCAGTCAATAGAATGACATTTCGAAATATTCCAGTGTGGCAACTACGTACTGATAAAAAAATCTGACGGCTAACTATATAGAAAAAAAAATTTTATTTGAATATTTTAAATAATAAATAAGAAATACATTTTCTAAAATTTGACTCAAATTTGAGATCAGTTGGTTTTAGTGACGCCGGAATTATCTATAGTTTTCATGTAGCGTGTCGTGTGAGCAAAATTGGTAACAACATATTTGGATATGAAATTCAAAGTTTTAAAGGAAGCTACGTTGTTGATGTAGAGGTATGTTTTTGGAAGATCTATGTTTGGCTGATGGGGGGTCAGACTTATTACAAAATATGTTCGTTTTTTTTTTTTTCAACTTTTTGCTACTTTGCTTTGTCTTATTTCGCCGTTCGCTAATTAAGTTAAGTTTTTATAGTGTAAATACTTAATTTTAATTGTGCAATTATCTCTTATTGAGAGATCTGCGAATTTTTGAAGTGCTTATATAAAATTTAGTGGTGTATATAAGACGGAATTGTATAAGAAGGGGTTCAAAACCCATCAACTACCCACATTCAATTATGTTTTGAACTATTCTACGCTATACATAATGGATTTTAATAATTGAATCGTTTTAAAAACCCAATGGGGTGTCAGAGATATACAAATGGTATATTCGTTGGTAGTATTGTTAGTATAAATCATATGTGTAGCGCATCAAATCGTATCGGTTACTGCCAACAATTAAACACTTCAGCTAATTTTTTTGCTTTGTTTTGTTTTGGTTTCTATTTTTATTTAATTTATTTTGGCGCATATTTTCTGTTTTAAGAAAATTTCGTTGCTTCTGCTTTACATATCGTCGTCTTCATGTCAGTCCGTGCTTCTTTTTGGGTTGACAATTATAAAATGCGATATAGACACCTACAAAAATACGATTACGTGTTTAGAATATAAATTAATGAGATTATATGAATCGTTTGTTGTTTTCGGTTTTGATTGATAAACTGTTTCTCTGATTCTGAGATTCTTAGATTCTGATTTCCGAATTATGTAGGTGAGAACGAACGAGTGCGCCACAAATGATTTTGTTTACCAAGTAAAAAGTATGTGCTTTGCATAAACTATTTAAAATGCTAAAGTATCTTAAAGTGTCAGTTAAAACTTTATTTTAAAAATTAAAATAAAAAAATAATTAAATAAAGAAGCAATAAAATATTATTGAAGTTTGTGTTAATTACGTGCAGTGTTCTTTGATTAACTATCCGAAGAACACAGATTGACCTTCCTAAAAATATAGCATAAAAATAATTATCAAATATGTAACAATAAATAATTAACTAAAAATTTAATTTATTTTTTAACTAAATAGATAGATTAACTTTAATCAGTAAAAGAAATACAAACAACAAAGTCTTAGTCTCCAATTTTTCCCTCCTATAATTAAGAAAAAAATTAAAATTAAAATTAAAATTAAAATTGAAATTAAAATTAAAATAAAATAAAAATATTAAATAGTTAAAGATTTGTGTAAGAAGTAAATATTTTGAAGAAAAAAAATATCTGAGAGTAACACTATTGAAAATGTTTAAAATAAATAAAATAATCGACGTCATTAGTAACGCCAGCAGATATCTATAAACGATATATAGTATATATAAATATATATATATATTTATATATATAAATGTTTAGATATTAAAATAAGAATATAATAAAACAATTACAAAAATGTTATGTATTTAGATGTATTCCAAGGCGTCTTATATAAGCATAATTGTATATTGAATAAATTAAAAGAAACTAACTAAAAGCTGAAAGAGAATTGTATCTGAAATACTATAGAGATTTATGTTAATTAACGTCATCGTGGCAAAAATTTATAGATAAATAGTTAATAAACAAAACAAAATGAAGCGACGCAATGCCGATTGTGGCAAACTTCGACGACCGATAAAACGTAACAAAATCACTGAGGGCATGTATGGCAGGTAAGTTCCATAAGACTACTTACTATATATTATATATATATATTATAGATATTTAAATCTATTTTTGCACTAAACTACAATATTTTATAAGGAAATTCCAACTTAAGATAAATTAATTTAATTAATTTTTCTTTTTAATAATTTTAATAACTAAATGGAAACTTTATAGTGTACATTTATTTCAAGTTTTTTTTCCTCTTTTGTAATTTCATTGATTTAGATAATAGATCTATCTACTCTTTTATAAAGCTACCATTAATAAAAGTTGCAATTAATATCAATCTCGTTTTCATAATTGTTTTTAGAATTACTACTCCTATTCCAGACTGCTAAACAAGCTTATTAAAATGAATTAATTTTCACAATTCTTAAAACATTCGGTTTTGTAAACATGTTTGCACCTTCTAATAGTTTATGCATCTATCTAAGTATAACTAAACCTGAAAATTTATATTATAATGAATTCATTTAGTAACATTATTAAAAACATAAAATTGTTAATTAAAATGAAACTGATACATTGGTTTCCTAATTGCATACACCCGTATAAACTATCAAGTTTCAGAGTAAATATTATAGAATGCCGAAACCTGTTGGGTCTGTAAAATATCCAACTATTATTTTAACTTATCCAATTTCTTTATCTGTTTTTTCATATATATTTTTATACGAAATATAGAGTAAAACATCCAACTATTTATCTGCATCTGTCTTGTATTTCTCAAGAAATTTGTCCAATACCCTTAACTGTGTTTAGTTGTATTTTCTTCTATGTAAAATATATATACAATGCAGAGTAATATATCTAACCAATTTATCTGTATCTGCTTTGCGATTTTCAAAAAAAAAAATTCATTCTATACTTTCAATTGAACTTGTATGTATGCTTTTCTATATGAAACATATATGAAAGTGTTAGTAAACCGTCTATTTATTTTATTTGCATCTGTTTTGCGATTTTCAAGAAATTTGTCCAGTACCTCTATCTGTGAAATATATGTCAAATGCAGAATGCAACATCTATCATTTAGTCTATACTACACTTATACTTAAGAATGATTTCAACAATTTTTGTATGTATGTGATATATATGTCAAATGTAGAATGAAATATCCGTTGATTTTATATCTATCTGTCTTGTGATTTGCAATTCTGCAGAAATTTGTCCAATACTTCCAACGGGATTTGTAAGTATGGTTTTTCTTTTCTTTTACATAGAGCCTGTATGGGGCCAATATCTCTATGTTCCCCTACATGTACATATATAACTCTAAAGTATATGTCAAATACAGAATGAAACATCTATCCATTGTATCTGTATCTATCTTGTGGTTCTTGTGAAATTTAAACTTAAGAATACTATTGTATATAGTATGTGTATGCTTTTATATGTGACATATACCATATGTCAAATGCAGAAAGAAACATCCATCAATTTTATCTGCATCTGTCTTGCAATTCTGCAGAAATTTGTCCAATATTAAAAGTTTGTTTTTTATGCTTGTTTTTTTGTTCTCCTATTTACACTATAGAGTATCTCTTATCAGTTTAAATCGAACTTTGTGCTTTAATGATAGACAGAGATATCATTCCATGAATTTTATACATTTTAAAGTTAACATTTAACTGTTTATCAAGTCATGAGTGGCGTAGCAGTGTGTCTAGAATCTTTTGAACTCCACCTGAATGGCTGTCAAGCAATATTATCGTTGAGTTTTCTAAAAGAGTTCTCTCTATGCAGTTCCAATAGTTTTTCCGTACTTCCTCTGTAGTTGTAATTTGCCTTTGATTAACCTGAATGATGTTTGTTATAGGTCTCGTATTTGTAATTGACCTTTATTGACTCAACTGAGATTTAGAGATATTGTTAGATGTTGCTAGCGTGTTTCAATACCATTTGTATAGGTTAGCTTAAGAAACGTTCTTCAAAGATAAGACAATAGATCGTATAGACCAGTGTTATACCAATAATAATAATAAAACTCACACACATCAAAGATATTACTCAGTAAACGATATATAAATTTGGAAGATACGGTTGAGACCTCATTTCTAAGGGTAACATGATTTTTATTAGAAATTTCAAAATCTGTCTTTCAGAACCAAAATTAGTCTATTAGTCTATAGGTAAAATTTGTTTAAAATGGATTGTATTTAAACAAGGCATTGTACTAAAAGGCTTATAATTTATAATCTATAGTCTAAATATAAAACTCATTATATCACTAAAATAGCAGTATTTTTTTTAATCAATAGTAGATTAGTAGATAATAGTAGCTATTTAATGTTTTAAATTAATATACGATATATGTCTCCAACAATAAATCCATATCTATTGTGTTATACAACTACTTGAAAATAATCTAATTTAAGAAAATTCTGCTATATAAGGTTTCTGATAACTATTTTGAAGCAGATAAATAAAAGCAAAGTTAAAAGTTTAAGGCGTACTCTATCATGGACCAGTGTTATCATTGTTACTTTCATCTTCGTTGTAAGTTGACCGTATCTGTAAATGTTAGTCGTTTAATTCAAGAAGGAGTTCTTGTATTTCTCGATTTAATACATAATATTCATTATATGTGTATTTTTAACGCATGTTGAGTGTAATTGACCTTAATAGAACGAACCTTATGTGTTATATTCAAAGACCATTCTTTGTTATGAATGTACATCCTATTCATTATATATAATCTTTTAAATTGATAAACTTAGTCATTACGTTCTAAAATGAATTAAAAGTGGTTAGGAGCTCTAAATATTTCTAAGTCTGTGTGGGTGTTGTCACATGGTATCTATGATCAAATCTATTGTTAAAATGCACCTTTGACAATAGTGTTTGTTTTAAGAGTACTCTTAAGTCACATATATACTAGTCTCATAATTCAGTGTCCATTTCAGTTTATTTGTTGCAGCTATTTGAACATAAATTCTTTTTCTAATCTCCTGTTAAAAACTGTTATTTCGTTTTTTTACTAAGATCTATATAAGAACTCATTATTTATATTAGATATTGCAAATATAGGAATTAACAACATTATCCGTTCTATCAAAATCACTCATCGCTTTTTGGATCAAGAATAGATCTCTTTGGGACAGCTATCACACCATAAAAATGTGTGAAATTACAATGCACACACACTAGGGACCTACGTGAGGGGTGGGTGTTCTTGTAAGAAGAGCTATCACTACCATTTATGGGTACTGTTGATTCTTGTCTGACTAGTCCATATATGATTTTTGCACTACTTGATTGGATTTGATTATTTCTCACGGATAAAACAAGAAAGCGGCTCTAATGTCGGAGAAGATTTAGAGTTTCGTGTTCCTATCAATTTCTCTTTTTGACAAAGAGTGCTGGTTAATTTGATGACTTATGTTTGTTGCCTTTAATACTCGGTAATATATTTTTTTCCGCATTAACTCACATGTAGTGATTACCAAATACTGGTTACTTTCGCTTTGTTGGCTTTATTATATAAGATTTTATTTGTTAAATTATTTTCTTACAATTCACATCTTTTCCTTTTTTTTTTATATACAATTTTGCGTAAGTACTGATTTTCCAGTGCCCACTAAACACGGACAATGTCGTTGGTAAAAATAAATGCTTGAATATATTTCATTTTGAAATATATAGTAGGTGTTATTGTATTTAAACCATATCCACATTTATAGAAACCAACTGGTTGCTATGCCACGTCGGCATCATTCATCCATACCCCTTCCTTGCTAAACTCCCTTATGACGTGATAAGAAGACTTTTATTCAACTCCATGGCTCACCTATATATTTTGTTTTACTTACGTACATCTAAATTATTTTAGGCAATAAAAAATTTTAAAATTAAAAATTGAATAAAACAAATTGTTAAGTAAAATAAATAAAAAAATTTATTAAAAAATAAAGCCTTTGCTGGGCTTTATTGCTGAATGAATTTATTTTCATTCAATTTTCATCGATCAACATTAGTTTAACCTGCCCAAACCGAAATCGTATTTATTTGTTATTATTTTTGTGCAAATACGAAATTTTGCAACATTTCTCGGCATTTGCAAACAAAACTAAGTGAAGTTAATCAAAAACTAATAAATTTGGCCATTTCAACAAAAATTTGGGCATTAAGTGACTCTAATTGCCAGACCCATGCGGATTTACTGGATTATTTGCTTTTGTTATTAGGTTTTAACTTTTTTTGCTGTGTGGTAACTGAGCAGGTGTTTGTAGGTAAATAAATATCTCCGGATTAGTCAATAAAAATTGATGAATTTTCATAGTTTTAAAAATATATTTCAATTCAGTACAACAAAAAAAAAGAAACAGTGAACATATATCATATGGATTATATTAGAGATTATGTGTAAATTTTTAAATAATAATTATATTTTTTAAATGATAAATAAAATCAACAACAATTAAATTATTTTTTATAGTACAGGTGAGATTTTTTTCTAGCGTTCCCCAGCACAGAACGAAATATTGTTCTAATTTCTTAGTAATCAGAAGAACCAGTATGCAGTTTTGGTTATATATATATATAGTATGTATATCGTATTTGTATTATGCAAATATTGAACTGTCACGATGCCATTTATTCCCTATAATAAACTCTAGTACAACAAAAACATCTTCAGTTATTTCTATCATTTGATAGTTCCATTTATATATGTATCCTTATTCAGCATGAAAGCGACCCCTGTTTATGAGCGAAGTAGCACCAGTGCTATCTAATTCTCAGTAAAGACCGCATCCACACAAGTTTGGCATCACCCATGACAGATATATACATGTGTCTATTTACCTGTTTCTGTTAGTCGCTTCGTAAAATACTTACTTTCATCACAAAAGCTCAACCAACTGTCTTGGTCTCATGACCAATATTTTTCCATGACATGAATATTTTTCCAGCGAATTGTGCCGGGAATTTGGTTTTTCTGTAAAGAGCTGCAAATTGTCTGTTGAGCTTGAAAGGATCAATCTTCTTAAAAGTCCTATTATGCAGTGATTAGCTTTGGTACTCATGTGTAATAGTCTATTATAAATATATTAAACAGATTTTGGATTAAAACATTTTATACAAAATGCTCTTGCACTTAGCTAGTTCAGCTTTTCCCGAAGTACACTTTTGGATTATTTCAAACGATTTAGTAATCCATACGGATGTGAAAGTATATGTACGAATTATGTGGAGACATATATAGTATATGACTTCTTGATAGAATATTAAATTTGTACAAAAGAAGATTTTGTTCGCACTATAATAGCTATCAACTATCGCTTAAAGCATTTGCACGTGTTTTAATACTTAATCATCTATATTATAATAATAATATCCATCATCCATTGCTTGAACTATTTCCACATGTTTTAATCCTTAATCATTGGGCTTAAGAAATTCTGCATGCATTTTATCCCCATTACCATATCTTTATCAGCTTTTGAGATCCTATCTGTCAGTCTATTTATACTTACTTATTGCTTGTGAAATCTATGTAAAAGTTCCTTTTACTGGTTCGCGTTTGATGATAGTTTTTCTTAGCGTTAGATTGATGTTCTCCTCAGACTTCATCTGAAAACACAATATTTTGTAACTTACATTTATAAATGATATTCGTTTATATTGATTAGGTATCATTGTTTTCAAATTCCTGTGATCTTTTCTCTTAACTATATGTGCTCAATACGTTAATAAACTTCTGTCCTTAAGTCGATTCCATCGTATTGTAGTTCAGTTACAATTACGTCTTCCCATATTGTTTTATTGTATTTTAACTTCCTTCACAAAGCTTTTGATTTGGAATATAATGTAGGGTATCTTAAAAGGATTAATAATCTTGCTTACATCTTTAAAAGTATCTTCAGAGAACTAATATCCCTTTGATTCGGAATAGATAGTGAAGGGTTTGATAATCTTTTCTTTTGAATTATTTTTACAATTCGATCACACTAATAAATAACTTGTTTTAAGCAATAATTTATTTAATTATTAGGTATTAAATAAGCATTAAATTATTTAATTTTTTCTCTTCATAGCACAACTGTTTTGTACATGAAATTCCTTGTACTTTGGGCAATTGTCATAACAGCCGATTTTATGTTTATGTTCCGTTTTGAGTTCTTATGGCCTTTTTGGCTACTGGTACGCTCCGTGCATGATTCATTCAAATATAAAGGATTGGTAATTATGCTTATATATAATCTTATCTATAATAACTTTATGTAATACCAAAAAAATGTTATTTTGCAGGCATTTTCCGTATTGTTCGTTTGCATAGCAATTACATCAGACTTGGTATGTCTTTTCTTTATACCAGTACATTGGCTACTATTTGCGGCAAGCACATATGTCTGGGTGCAATATGTTTGGCATACGGGTAAGTCATAAAATAACTAAGTACCATAACGAATTCAAATTTAATTTACCATTTTACTTTCAATTTTTTGACAGACAAAGGCATATGCTTACCAACAATAATACTTTGGATGCTTTTTGTGTATCTAGAAGCTGGCATCAGGTGGAAAGACAGTCGACATATGCCACATTTAGATTTGTGTCGACCTTTTGCAGCACATTGGTAAGTATTCAGAAATTACTTTTGCTACCAAATTAATATAAGTACACCATTAGTAAACTAATTAGGTTTTATTTCATATTTAGTATTGCCTAATAAATTAAATAGAAAATAACATTTTCCGCATTTTCTCTAAATTTGCAATTTTTAAATACTTACTTCATTTAATAGTTTAATTAAATATTTTCAAACAAAATTAATTATCGTATACGACATAATTATTATTTAATACGTCATATTTTTAATTATTTTTTTACCTAACAATTTTTTACCGATATTTATTATATTATGTATTAGTTTTATTATTATTTATCAAGTTAACGGATATATTATAATTATTATTGCATATATACTTTATTGCATATATATTATATTCAAGTTTATATAATATATATATATATTTATGTATTATATCTATTTATATATTATATATATTTATATATTATATGTATTTATATATTATATATATTATGTTGAAGCTATTTGAGCTTCAGTGCACTTAAGCCATTTTATTATTGTTTATCACTTCATCAGACTATGCAATAATTGACCTCAGATCTAAATACCTCTCCGAGGAGCCTGTAACCATGCTGAGATTTGATAACGCGGTGTTGGTAATTCTATCAGTTTTCGCAAATAATTTTAGGATTCTATCCTAGGATCAATCTTGAGGTCCCTGATGAGATGGGATCAATCTTGAGGTCCCTGATGGGATGGAATCAATCTTGAGGTTCCTGAGGATGTCATTCGTCCTAATGTACCATGGTACTTTGAAAAAGTCTTCTCAGAACCTGGCTTTGTGCAATTTTAAGCTGACGAATAGTAGTGTTTGAAGCTTTGCTAAACGCTACACATTCATATAGAAGTGACGAACGAATTATTTGGATATATATCAGCTTCCTGTTCTTAGAATTGAGATTTTATATATTATATATATTTATATATTATATATATTTATATATTATATATATTTATGTATTATATATATTTATATATTATATATATTTATATATTATATATATTTATATATTATATATATATTTATGTTGTATATATGTTTTTATGTATTACAAATCATAATCATAAATAGTTTAATAGGAACGACTAATGTTTTCTTTAAAAAACGTTTAAACTCTGTCTATATATATTACAAAACTTAATTATTAATACCAATAGTTCTTTATTTTCAACCTTGATATCATGATAAGACAAAATACATATTGTACGAAAATATTTTTATATAGGTAAAATTATTATTTATTAATTTTTTTATAATAAAGTATTTTAAAAATTAAATAGCCACTTATAGCTAAATATAATTATTTCTATGCCAATATTATAATTTAATAACGATCACCATACAAACTTATAAAATGTTAGACCCAAACACCCCATACGGTTAGAGGCTCCTTTCAATAATTACTGTCGTAATTGTGGTTTAGAAAGAATAAAATCTAACTCATCTATTCGCTGCCCAACACTTGGTAGAAGGCTATTATCTATTTTAGGGGTTTCTTCCTCCCGATATCGCGAAAATTGAAATTGTTGCCTTTCCTCATTATATTTAAAGTACAAATTATTTTTCTGTTCCGAAGCAGCTAACGTGTTCCGCAAATTATAGTATTGGAATGCCATAAGTATCTACCATTTACTATATAAAAAAAAACTTAACCACTCTTACTACCTACATAATGCTAGGAGAACTATATACTAAACATTATAACAGCTTGAAACTCTGTTAAAACGCTTCTATTATGTTTTTTGATATGTAATAATCTCGAAACGGTCAATAAATGCTTTATAACTTAGTAATTATCACCAGACCTCAGTTTAAAATTTTTCAATGAAAAAATACAACTTCCCCATGTACCTGTCAACTTCCCCTTATAATTGTCTGATCTTAATGTGCAATTTCCATGACTATTTTTCCTAAGATGTTCTGAACCAACTTAAAAAAAGCTTTAGTTATTTATTATTAATACATCTATTTCTACCATAGCATATGTTATTGGTTGTAAGGTATCTTCTTACCTTATACACCTTTTCAATATGATCTGTGCTTCCATCTTCTTCGGCATGCTTCCTCATTCTGCAATAGATTAAATTCAATTTCACCATTATTTTCAATCATTTTAATCTTTTTTACATTGTATGCTGACTGTATATTCATTTTATATTTATACCATTCATGACTATATCTATCATGCTATGCAGACAGTCATGATCTGTAAATCAAATTAATGAATTGTAAATTAAAAAATAAATACTGTAGAAATAAATTTAGGCAGAACCAAAAAGTATTAAAATAGTGGAAATATTATAAAAATTAAAGCATGCAAAATATTCAGTTAGTTATAATAATTTTACACTAATTTCACACTAATTCTACACTAAATTTAACAATGCATCTTTCATAGATTTGTTCCGTCGTTTCTTATAATTTTATACTAATTCCACACTATGTTTTGGAATGCATATATTCCTAATAGTTGACTCAGCAAAGTTCGCTTACTTTAACTTAATTAATTTGTATTGTTTAGTTTTGGTCCATACTTAAGTGAGTAGTATGAATTATAATGTATCTATGCGGCTATATATCACTGAGTCTGACAGTTACAGATGTAACAGTCTGTATAAAGATAAGCGATACTTTCTCTTCACGGCATGCAGAATTGAAACACAAATAAAAAATTTTAATTTAAGTATATTCAGTATATTTGATTAAGTATATTCATAATTTAGATTTGACTTTACCAAAATTTCAAGCCTCTTTAGATAGTTATACTAGAAATCGGTTACTTAGTAAGGTTACTACATACATTTCCCAGTAATAATAATATACTTCGTGATATATATAGAGTATATATAGATAGAGTTAGATATAGATATATATAGAGTTTTGTTTGATTTTTATGAAAACTGAATAACTGTTTTACATACCTTCTGAACAAATTGCTAAGACAATCTGTTTTGTCAAAGAATATATGTAGTTTATATTGTCGTCTGACAGTGCATGATTGTTTTATCCTTATAATTCCATAAATTTAAACTTATTTGTAAGGTATCTGATGGATGAGATGTGCAGCACTTGCATAAATAGTTTCACGACATATATAAGTTTACTGCTGTCATCAATTATAATTAAATGATATTCTTGATGTTGTTATAGCTGTTTGTTTCGGTTCTAGAAAGCAAACATCTAAAACTATGGCAAGACGTACACAAGTCAAATAAGAGGAAATTGTGTAGGATGGTTAGGGGAAGAGTGTTAATAATTAAACCTAGCCTGGACCTAGGTAAAGATACATTGCTACTTCATAGTTTTGTTGACATAGTCATAGTTTTGTTGTTGTTGTTGTAACCCGCCGGGACCTGCTTGTGGAGTCTCATTGGGAGGTGTTGAAGGGTTCTTGGTCGTCGTTGATGACGAGTAGCTCCAGGACGTAGACCCGACCGTTCTTGGAACCACGTAGTCTTGTAGAATGTTGTTATTATAATCCACGGAGATCTATTAAGTAAATAACATGAAGAGAATTACAAATATGTGTATATGGGTTAGGATGGGGATAAGTGATAGTGATATAAGAGGAGAGGAGTTTATATAGTTGTTAGAATAGACTGCAGATGGGTAGGCTTTCAATTGAAATCAACCTGGGTCTAGGCGGAGAAACTTAGCCACTTGAATAAGACAAAACTATAGCATTATCTTCTCGTCTTCTCCTTTACGTGACTATGTTACCAATATCTTGCAATATTCTTAGGCTGTTGTGAAATATTGTAGTATAAAAAATTGAAGTTATTTTTATACAATCAACTAAAATTGCATTAACACAAAGCATTCTTTCACTTAAATTTTGAATATTTAGAAACTTTTGTTAATTTTAAGTTCAGGTCTGTGACGTCGGGTCTAAAGGCACTGAGTTTTTAGTATTTTATCCATTAAAATTCATTTGAAGAAAAGATTTCATCAAGTGAATAAATACCACTCATATGCAGTGAAGGAAATGCTTTTTATTTTATTTTATTTTGTTTATTTTTTCTTTATTTTTTTTATTTGCTTTTTAAATTATTTTTTTGCACTAACATTAAGTTATTTCTTTTCTTATCTTATATAGTATGTTACTTCTGTATAAGTCTTTATATTTAAAAGTCTTAAGTTATTTTTCACATATTGAGATAATTAAGTAGTTGTGTTTGATTCAATTTAAATTTTTTTATCATAACAATTTATGGTGCAAATACTTTTAATCAATTTACAAAGAAATCATAATCCATTGTATGTGAGATTAAAGTCGCAAAAAGAGGATATTTAAATCACACTTAAACTTATAAATTTTTTTTGTTGCATTCATATATATCCCACATTTAAGTATCATAATTTTTAAATGTGAATATGTATATATTTTTGAAATTTAAAATTTTATTTATGTATTTATGATTTATATACTTTTTAAAAATAATAAGCATTTTTTAACCAATATTCCATTCCATTTTTATTACAGTATTGGTTACCCAGTTGTAACGTTAGGATTTGGCTTTAAAAGCTATGTGGGCTACCGTATGCGACAGCGAAAGCAGCGTGAAGTAGCGAAAGAAAATGAATTTTATATGCAACTATTGCAGCAGGCACTACCACAAGAAGAGACACCAGATGATACACAACAAATAACTGCAGTGACTAGTGCAACAATAGTAACAGTAACAGCCAACACAGCTCAAAGTGTACAGAATTCTTCCCACTCTAATGCGACGACACATGTTGCGATTGCAGCTACTGCAACAGTAGTAGCAGCAGCAGTCACAACCACAACAACAACGTCGAATGCCATTATCTCAGCGAATGGTATATTGGCAGCACAAGCACAAAATCATCATAATCATCATAGTCAAACAAATGATAATCATACGCATCATAACAGTAGCAGCAGTGGCAGCAGTAGTAACAGCATAAACAACAATACCATAAGTAGTATTTTAAATACAACTACCACAACAACATCTACAGCAACATCAGGGAGTGCGAATAATAGTACTTCAACATCAAATAGTAGTGATGATAAGAGCTATGTGCAAATTAGCGGAGGTGGCGGTGGTAATGCTTCTAATTCTACTGCATCGCTTACGCATCAGCATAATCAACAACATAACCATCAAAATAGTAATCATCACCATAACAATAGTAATTTACACTCGAATCATATTGCACATCAAACTCACAACCATCATCATCAGAGTAGTAATAATAATTCGAAAAATGCTCAAAGCAATTGTGAGTTTATGCTATTTATTATTATTATATTCTAGAATAATTCTTATAACTTCATGTATATAACATATGATTTAGTTTAATATTCCCCTAATGAGGGTCAAACCGTATTTACTAATGGCTCAAAAGTAGATAGTCATGTAGGCAATAGAGTTTTCTCAAAAGAATTGAGTAAATCTACTTATTATGGGTTGAGCTGTTCGCTATTAGGATATAGTAAAATATAGCTGGTCTGGAAATGGTTAATATATAGTAGAAATATATGCATACTATCTCATGGCCGCTATTACGAAAGTTATGCCTTGTCTATATAATATACTATCTGTCAGGTTGCTTTAAAGTTCTTGAGATTAGTCCAATTTAAATCCGGGACGGTTTTTGTTTGCTAAACATCACAAAAAGGAGGTGTCGACGGAGTTTAAAATGGGTACCTATGGGACCTATGGAAAATATCCCTATGACGCGGTCATAGGGATATTTTCGGCAATTGCAAAATAGACGAGCTAACCAGACAGAGTAATTTAGATAAACACTCAAAACACCTTAAAACTCTAGGCTATCATTGACATCAAGCAAATTTTTATTAAATTCTTACTGTGCTGAACTTTAAAATAACAGATGGGAAGACTTAAAGTAATATATGCATATGTATGTGAGTTGACCACGTTCTGTTGAGGTAAAATCGAGTACTCTCATTGAGATGCCCCGTAAATATATCAGTCATGTAATAGGTCTGCTCACGGGTCACCGCCGATTAAGGGTCAATGCTAGAAGATTGGAACTCCCTTATAATAATTCCTATCACCGTTGCAGAGTGGGCGATAAAGTACCTCACATATTATTTATTATTGCTCAGCGCATGGGTTAATAGACCTAATGGGAACCTTAAGAGTATTGATGTAACTTACCCTTTCCCTTGTTTAAAAAATTAAAAACTAACATTAACTCGTTAGTAACTAAGAAGTTAAAAAACTAAATGTTGTTTTTAATTAGACTTTATTTTAAAAAAATTTTGTTTCTTTTTATATTTATTTTCCACAATTTTTGTTTATTTTTAAAACATTACTTTTTAATTTTTTTTAAATTTTTGTTTACTTACAATTTTTTATCAATGAATAGAATTTTTATTAAGCTTTAAAAGAAAATTCAGATTAGATTGCTTACCGTTTTGATAAAAAATTTTTCTTCAGTCTCTTAGTTGATTAGAGAGTTTATAACTAGTCTGTTAGTGCGAAAGACTTGTGATTTGTTTGCGTACAAATTGGAGACCTTAACAAGAGACTTGTTGTTTTTTTCCATGCTTAGAAGCGGCCAAATACAGCTGTTATCAATTCGGGGAGAGTGTGTCTTCTGTTTATTATGGCACGTAACGGAACATTAACAATTTTAGAACCGGTATTAATGTTTGTTTGCAGATCTGCTTAGTAGTATTCATCACACACTTACCTCTTACTTTATACCAGATTTTGAAGTTTGCTTGAGTAGTCTTAAATTCGTAAAGTTTGATAAAAGGATTAATAGTAGCATTTAAATTATTTTCACAAAAATAGAAAAAAATATATATCCAAATTTTATATTCCATTTCTTATGCTTACCTACATATTTTATAGTTCAAATCTTAAATTTCAAGTTATTTTTTGCGTATCAACTATAATTAATTTTTGATTGATATATTATAAATTATAATTACTTTTTGTTTACTATTAATTGTATTTCGTAATATTTAGAAAATTATAATAATATTAATTATTTTTTTATAGCGACATCAAATGGTTATATTGGAGCTAACTCCAAAAGCCACCGTCGCAGTGTTGATAAAGATAAAAATAGAGGAAGCGCTATTGGTGATAATGAATCAAAGCACAACAAATCCAGTAACTATCAGCAATATAATTCTGATAATTCTAATAATAGCAATAGCAATAACAACAACAATAACAATAAGGACAAAACAGACAGTGAAAGCAACAACTATCAAGTTAACCAAACGCATCAACATAATTCTAAAGAAAAAAGTGGTAATATTACATTTTCTATTAATCTTCCATCCAGTAAATATAATATACATATAATATATTACAGATGAACATCGTTTGGGTTCGCATAGCAGTTCCTTAAAGAAAGCTAATTCACAAAATGCGTTCGGCAATACAACGCCAGTTGTGGCCAACGGTAATATATCACAATATGATATGGATGATGTTATAGTAGTGGAACCAGTTGAAAAAACTAAAGGTTTTTATTTATTTATTTATTTTTTTTCTTACTTGTATTATAATTTTTTAAATTTCGAATTATAATTTTAGGACGCCGAAATCGCTCTAAAAAAGACAATGCTTCCAAGGACAATCATCATCAACATCATAATAATAATAATAATAATAGTTATAATAGTAATTCAACTTCAAATCATTTACATACACAACAACAGCAAAACAAGGATGTTAACTCTCATAATAATAATAATAATAACAACAATAGCAGTAATAATAATAACAACAATAGCAACACTAATAACAATAATAACAATTCAGATGCATCATCGGTCTCATCATCTAGTTCCACTTCATCATCATCATCAGCATCATTAACTATTTCGAATATAGCCTCTAAGGTGGTGTCGAAAATTTGCGAATCATGTCTCAAACTCGAGGCAGACATCAAAAAATGTCGTTCAGAAATTAGCCATCAAAAGCAAATCGAGAACGAATTGCGTCAGAAACTTGAATCAAATCTCACAACAAAATCCTGTTTGCAGGCCAAACAAAAGGATTGCGATGAACTGGAAAAACGTATCAATGAATTGACTAGTGCTCGTCATGCTGATACGTTACAATTACAAACTGCTGAACGTCGTTTGAATGATGAACGACGACAGAAGCAATCTCTCGAAGCTCAATTGAACAATGAGAAAAAGGCACGAAAGTTGGCTGAGGAAAAAGCTGCTAGGCCAGAATGCAGTGCCCAATGTAAGCAGCGTAAACAGCAAATGGATGAAGAAATTAAACAGCTGCGGCGTGATGTGAAAGCGGCGGAGGAGTCAAAACAAATGGCTGAACAACAAGGACGACAATGGGAGCAAGAGGTTTGTTTTAATTGTATCTCAATTTCTTTTTTATATATCATATAATTGTGTATATCATCAGATGTATATTTCATAATAATAATCATAATATAATATAAATATAAGTATAAATATAAATAAAAATATATATAAAAATATATAAAAATATAAATAAATATAACATAAATGAATGAATAAAATATAAATATTATAATATTCGTAATTAGATTATTATTGAGAGTTAATTTAGCAAAAATTAATTTCAAATATTTATTAAATTTTATTGTTAAAGATTTTACTATATACTATATTGTTAAATTTGTTATTTAATATGCTTTAAAATATTATTATAACAATAATTTATTTTTTCTAATTATAATAAATATTATTATCAGTTCAATTGTATATATTTATTATTAAATACTTAATTATTATATTTATAACTTATATCATGTTTCCACTGCAGCTAAAACTATCTAAGTTAATCAAATTAAAATTTGGTCGTTTCTATTGGCATAACATGATTTAAAATATTGATAATTTCACTTGTGGGAAATTTATATTTACGAGTTACCTTCGTCAGTTTTCGCTTCGAATTAGTTGACTTAGTACTAATTGCCTCATTTATATGAAGGTTCTTTGTATGGTAATTATTCTCAGTAGCCTTAACGAGCAAAACCGCCTAAATGAGACAAGTGGAAACATGTTATTAATTATATATAATAATAAGAATAATTATTGTTATTAATTATAATTATAAATATTATTATTTTAATCACTTATTTTTATGCTTTTAAAATTTTTATATAAACCCCTATTATTTGAAACTTTTTCTGTTTTATAGCTTCGTATGTTTGAAGCTGAAATTCGAAATCGTGAATCAAATCAACCAGGCACTGAGGTGTTAATGAACGCCTTGCAAGCAATGCAAGATAAAAATTGTACACTAGAGAAAAATCTTTCTGCAGAAACGAGAGTTAAGCTGGACTTATTCTCAGCTCTAGGAGATGCTAAACGACAACTTGAATTATCAGAAAGTAATTATATAAATTTATTTAATATTAATTAATATTTGAATGAAATTTTAATTTTATTTTTTAAATTTCTTTTAGATCTTTATCGCAGTAAGGAAGATGAAGTTTTTGATCTAAAAGCAAAAATAGCTCAATTGCTTGCCGTTATGCCAACGGATTCTCTATGTTTGCCTGTTTGCAGTTCAACTGGTGCCAGTCAAATGCTACGCATGAACGACACACCACCATTGCAAACGGGACCTGGACCGTCATCGCCTATGTTGAATAGCTTAAGTGTTCAACAGGTTAACGGACCAGTAGGCCATCAACTTAATGCACGTCTTGCACCCAGTTCAGTCGGTGAATATGTGCAACAAGCGCCGCCCAGTTATGTTACCAATCAACATCCGCAACAATGTGCTGGTATTGTGCCCGTATCTGTTGCAACAGCTGTACTGGTGCCGGGTCCACCACCTGGCAATGGCAGCTCAAACTTAGATCCTAATGCTACTGTTTATACACCGAAATGTGGACCTAATTGCACACCTGGCGTTGTGGTCGTTTGTGGACCAAATGATGCCTGACTAAATGCCTCAGCTTCGGCTGTCAATCATCTACTACGACGACACATATGAGATTATTATTTTTAATATACAACAGTTGACAACCATCAACAGTAACAAGAAATTTTTTGTGCAGATTTGGAGTCGGCATATTTAACAACAACAATTTTTAATTAATTGTTTTAGGATATGCTGCAAATGCACCAGTTGCAATAAACTTATTTAAAAAAAATATCAGCAGTTATTATAACTACAACAATTATACAAGAAACAATATTTAAAAGTAATTTACATGAAATGATAATTATATTAATAAATAATTGAAATGAGAGACACAAATTTTAAAAAACAAAAAAGAAACAAATAAATATTTGCAATGAAGTAAGATTTGAAGTTGGATGAAAAATATTTGAAAAACAAACAAAATGATAAGTAAATGAGGCGATGCCGTGTTTGGCCGCTATTAAAAGCAAAACAGAAAAAAATCTTTTATTTCATTTCTAAATAATTTCAGTTGGAGAAAATAAGAAAAAGCTACTTATAGGATTTAAATTCATTATCAAATTTTTTTTTTTTTTTTTTTGTAGTGGTGGAAAGCATCGAAAGCCGCCGTGTGAGACTTTAACCCACTAAAACCACCACGAAGGAATGATTTGTAAATAGAATCACAGTAGTTAAATCACTGTAACACCCATTCCTTCCAAAAATTTTGTTCTATTACAAAAACTCTATATTGAAGAAAAATAAGAATCTAATTTTTACATAAGCAAAAAAAACATATACTGCAGATGATTCACGATGGACAAGTACTCTTGTCAATAAGACAAACTCGACGCATGTAATTGGAAACATCCAGAAATAGTATAACTAGTCAATGATCACAAGTATAAGTACTATACAGTTCTTATGACATTACAGGCAGATATTTTTAACTCTGGTTATTTTAAAACGTTGGTTAACCGGGTATTGTTTACAATTATCTTCATCAATAAAAAAAAAAAACTGGTTAGGTTTCTATAACTCAAAATTATAACAGGCTGAAAATATTTTTATATTAAATAAAATTCTTAAGAGTAATTAATATAAAAAATAGTACTTACAATGAAATAGTAGTATATATAATAAGTAAAAATATTTGGTTTACTTAAACTAATAAATAGTAGGCTTAATTAAAATCTTATATCTAATGTCTTAATATTATTTAAGATATTTTATTTAATATAAAATACATTCAAACCGAATTTTTACAAAAAAAAATTTTGTTAACCAATCAGACATTTTAAAATGATTATAATTTTTGCTAATTTTATTGATTAACTAAAAAGAGATTTCTAACCAATGATTTAAAAAAATTATGGTTAACGTACTAGTAAATTAACCGGAGCTAAAAAGACCGTCCCTAAGTCATATAAAACCTATAGACCTATATAAAATATATACTTTAACAATAAGAAGTAGTAAGGTATATAGAAATTTATGATGTTATAATAAAATTAATAATTTCAGAATTTTAATTATTTGCAGTAAAATTTTTTTATTAAAAAAGTAAAATAAAAAACCACTTACCGCTTACATTTACTAAAAGCAAATCATTATGCTTACAAGTGTACAAACCGATTTATTTTCTAAAGATTTGTGCGATTAAAAGTTTTTGCTTGTGTAAAATACGAAGTACTTCATTCTAGACCATTTAAACAGGTCTGGAATAAAATTATCGCAAAATGTGTGGTTTTACCATTTGATATTGAGTTAGGTGTGAACATCATAGTATATGGCTATATTTAGATGTAGCGATCGCAATTAAATTATACTTAAAATTTTTCTCAGTGTATTTTAATATTGGTTTGAATATGTAAACTTTATAAAAATATTTTTTATATTGTAATATAAAAATATTTTTTGTATTTTAATATTTAGTAGAAAACTATTATTTTTATTTCATTAATATATTTTAATTTGTAATATAAAAATTTTTTATATTTTAATAGAAAATTTTTTATTTTTTAATATAAAAATATTTTATGTTTTAAAATATTTTATTTTTATTTTTTATATTCTAATAAGAAATTTTTTATAATTTATTAAACAAATTTATATATATTATTATAAAAATTTATATATTTTTTTTGTATATTTTAATATAAAATTTTTTATATATATTATTATAAAAATTTTTATATTTTAATATAAGTTTTTTATATTTTAACATAAAAGTTTTTATATTTTAATATAAAATATTTTATATTTTAATATAAATGCTTAAATATCATAAAAGTAGATTCTTTTCAGTTGTTTTCTAATGTAAAGTAATAACACAATGTTAAAGATGAGCGCTCTTAAGGGAGCAGGCAAATCTTAACGTGATATTACTAACTGAACACATATCGGGAAACATGCGTCCGGCCCTTCATCAAAAACATAATAAAACAGGTTCCCTTGTCACAATATACAACAGTTAGACACTCTTTCAAAAAATTCTCTTCCTTTTTCTAGAGAGAGAGAGAGTCTTAAAAGTGTTAAGTATCAAGTTGTATAATTTCTACATTAAATATGATTTTATGAGAGAACAAAGTAGGATATATACCGTTATCAGGTAAGCAAAGTCGGTGGATGTATTTTACCACAACTGATATGATAGCTAATCAGTGATCACAACTATAAAAAGTGTATAGTTCTTACGATATTACAGGTCGTTATTTCCATTTCTAGTTAACTTTAAACATTGGTTAATCGGATATAGATTCGATTCAACTATTTATCAACCGAAAAGACTATGGTTAGGTTCTCTAACTGGAAATTTAATTAACTGGCCGAAAATATTTTTGCATTAAATAAAATTTATAACAATTATAAAATTGTATATAATGTAATATAATTTAATAATATATAAAATAGTAATGATAATATAGTAGTATATATAATAATATAATAAATAGAAATAAATTTTTTATTTACTTAAACTAATAATTAAGGCTCAATTAAAACCTTAATACTAATGTCTTAATAAAATTTAAAATAATTTATTTAATATAAAATATCTTCGAACCAAATTATTAAAACAAAGAAAAATCATTCATTTTAAGAGAAAAACTGTTATAAATTTTGCTAATCATTGGTTAACTAAAAAGAGATTCCTAACCTGTGATTAAGAAAAATCTACAATTAACTAAGTAGTAAATTAACCTGAAGTGAAAACAGCGTTCCTAAACCATATAAGACGTATAGACCTTTTAAGAATGAATTGGAGATAATTTCGCATATCACTTATATGTTCTTGTTCTTAACATTATTGAAAATGTGTGAAAAACACTGGTTAACCGGGTTGCGAAATACATCTCGAAAGAGTGATTGAGTTAAAGGAATATCTTTTAAAAGAATGGATAGTGTTAGTCTTCATAATTTGTTTTTATTAATTCTACATAAAATTAATAGCAGAATTAAAGTTGAAGGATATTTTTTTAAAA